GGGGGGGGGGGGGGGGGGGGGGGGGGGGGGGGGGGGGGGGGGGGGGGGGGGGGGGGGGGGGGGGGGGGGGGGGGGGGGGGGGGGGGGGGGGGGGGGAGGCACTGCAAACTGAGCACAAACAAGTATCTAAAACACAAAAAAAACGCACCTCCTGCAGCAGATCACGTCGGGGTGCAGCCCGACAGAGCGCAGCTCCCTCACGGTCTGCTGGGTGGGCTTCGTCTTCTGCTCCCCGACGCTCCCCAGCACCGGCACGAGGGTCACGTGCACCAGGGACATCCTCTCGCGCCCGACGCGGAACTGGAACTGCCTGAGCGCCTCCAGGAACACAGACGACTCGATGTCGCCCACGGTGCCCCCGACCTGCGATTGGTGCGGTTCGTGTCGATCGAGGAGCGGTGTGTCTTTTGGTTGATTGAATAATGTCGACTGCGCGCGCTACGGTGTTACCCCGGCTGGCCACATGAAAGACGTCCGGTGTAAGGAGAGTGGTGCGTCTTTCGGCTGACCGATGAAAATTCGTCGTGCAGCAGCAGCAGTGTCAGCGAGAGGATGAATAGGACGGGCGCAGCATCGGAGAAGGAAGGGGTCTGTCTGCGGGGGGCTCCAGGAGAGCAACATCTGCCGTGCGGCGTTCCCCGTGCGACCAGAACAGGTCTTGTATCCCAAAAGGAGCTGAAAAGACACCACAGCAGGTGACTACTTCTGATGTACTGTGTCATAGAGGACGTAAGGGGATGAGCTCGGGAAAAAAAAAACAGTTTTCTGAATACGAAACGGAAATGCTTTCTTTCTCGTCACTTCGATGAGGCAGCAAAGGCCGTACACCTCCAAGGAGACGACAGAAACAACAGACTACTATTGTATTCTTGTCGTAGAGAGAAAGCAACGGGATGAGCTCGTGAAAAAAAAAAAAACTTCTCGTTACCTCGATGAGGCACACGTCCGGGCGCTGGTTCGACCCGTCCACCGGGATCTCTGCCACTCGCTCTATCCACGCCTTCTCGGATCGAAACCCCGCAAACGGCCGATCAAGACAACGGGCAGAAAGACACGACAACATGCGGGTGGCAGCAGCAGCAGCAGCAAGCAGCAAGCAGTGGCTCGTGCGTTAGTGCGGCCGCTGCATCCGAAATCGGTCAACCGCAACATTTTTGTGCGCAGCCAAAACGCTTGCGATGAGGCCATGGCATCGTTCCGCGGTTGACCAGCAGGCCGCGGCGGGAATACGATCGACGGCAGTTGAAATCATACACGTGACAGGTTGGGTGTTCTTGTTCCCCCGGCTCGTTCAACGTCTCGCCGAGAGTAAAGACGGAAAAATGCGGGTCTTTCAATGTCTAGCCGAGAAATATGGAGACAGCCAAAGCCTCGTCGAGAGCAAAAGGCGGCAATAGGGCGGCTGGGTTCAACGCCTCGCCGAGAGTTCAAAGACAGCAACACGCGACGCGGCATTCGAGCGTAGCCTAGAACACTGCTTGGGATGGGTTAGGGATAGCGTCACGTGCGTGTACCCTCGCAAGATGGCGAGAGAGAATAGGTTCCGGAAATACAAATACGACGAGAACGGGAAAGTGATGCAACCGCAGTGGCGCGAAGTATAATAAAGTTGACGTGGAGTCGGACAAAACCACAACAGTGGCAACTAGGACGTATTGTCAGCGCGAACGATATAAAAAGCAAAGCAACTCTGCTGTCTGCAAGAAAATTGCGCACAGCAAGCGCTGACTGCCGTCCCAAGCCTACCGACAACCAGCAGCACTTGTACATGTATTCATGCATGCGTACACGGAGGCATCGTTGGACCAGGTCAAGCTCGAGCTTGTCTCAACAAACAATCTCGCCATGTGCCCGCCTCAGTGGCTGCTCATGTCGAGCATGTCGAGCATGAACACGAAACGGTTCTAACGGTTTCTCTGTTATTGTTGGCGCCATTACTGACCTGAATTTCGTCCGTGATGTGCGGCACGACCTGCACCGTCTTGCCGAGGTACTCCCCCTTGCGCTCCTTCGAAATAACCGATTGGTAAACCTGCACGCCCGTTTCGGCACCCCATCGCGTGGCACATGTTTTCGTCAAGAGGGAGGGCATCCAAGAGTGGAGGCTCGCACTTGAGCAACAGTTCAATATAATACGCTTGTCCCCGACCCTCTCTTAGCCTTTGCGCGACCGAGATAGTATTCTGACTCTTGGAAGACAAACGCGCCAACATCCTACATGTGTGCACACAATCAATCGCGAAGGTTCACAGACACAACACGCATTCACTGCGGCAAGGACGGTATTCACGAACAACTACATGACGTTTTACGATCTTTCTGCAGAAAAAGTAATCGTCACTGCATATCAGGGTTGTTAACACCGCTGCATGCATGCACTCGCCTTTCCGGTGGTGATGTTGTGGTCCCTCGACAGCCGAACCCCGAGAAACCGCTCGTAGTTGCCCAGGTCAAGGTCGGCCTCACCCCCGTCGTCAAGGACGAACACCTCCCCGTGCTCGAAAGGCGACATGGTGCCAGCGTCCGTGTTCTGTTCGCCGTCACCACAAAGCGGGTGGGCGGGGCGGGTTTAACTAGGGTTGTGGTTGGCTCGGGGCGTGGGGTGGCGAAAGTCGCCAACTCGAAACTGCTGTGAGAGGGTTGCGGCTAGTTTCATGGACGAGTGCCGTGCTTGCACGACGACATTGTGCCAGCATCCTCGTTCCGTCGTCTACAACAGATGGGCTCAGGTTGTATATTAACCGCTGTCCGAGTTGATGGCGCAAATAGCTAGATGTGCATACCAAGCACAGACGATGTTGGTTGACACGAAAAAATTACACAAAGAGCCACAGAGACTGAAACGCAAGACTAGACCGTCTGCGGCAGCCCACCGCGTCTGACAGCTCCCTGGTTGTACCACACACACAAGCCAGGAGGTGGGCGCAGCGCACAGCTGCCGTGTCCGCCTTGAATTTGCGGATACTTGGAAGACCAAGGCTTACCACAGCAGATTTGATGCTGGAAAATGGTAACCGTTACGTGACTGCTCTCTTGGGCTTCAGGATGTTGCATCTCCACATGCGTTTTGTTTTTTTCTTTGGCCCTCGTGTGGCGGACTGTAGGAGATGGAACTGGTGCATAAGTTAGTTCTCCGCCCGTCGGGTCTCGCTTCTCTCCTTGCTTTGACACCAGGTATATACGAAGTATAAAACACAACCAAACCCTGCTGTCCGTCCCCGCAGCAGTCACAAACGAGGCTGTTCAATGATTTCATGCAACAATCTGGATTTGTGACGGGGCGTTCTACCAGTTTGAATGTTTCAACTACTACATACATGCTGTACTGTAGTTTCAACCACAGCACGCGCGGACCGCTCGAAAACCTGATGCCACGCTACAGCGTTCAGAACAGAAATCCCACTGGAGGCACAGCGCGAATTCGTAGGTGCAGCCACGAATGGCTACGGCAAGTACCCAACAGGGACTCCCGCGTAGGGCTTTGGCTGTAGGGGCCCCCGTTCAAAAATTCAAACGTTTTTTTCCCTCAAATTTCAATTTTTAAAAATTCATCACTGGGTGGGAACTTCGTACGCGCACCCACCAAGTACGGGTCGATCTTGATCGAGGTCGTCCGCAGCCCGCAGTTTTTCAGCATGCGTCCGATGCTGCTGATCGTCACACCTTTGCCCAGCCCGCTCACGACGCCCCCTGTCACCACGACATACTTCATAGGCTCCAGCAAACCATCACCGCCATCCGACATGCCGCCGGGAGCAGCAGTACCGTTGCTCGCAGCGTGTGAGTCGGCCATTGTCGGGAGTGTACGACGCACGAGTTCTCCTCCTCGCCTTCCCCTCCCTTCTCCTTGATCGCTCTCGATCTCTCGCTGCGTGCGTTGTATCTTGCCCCTCACCGCTCTCTGGCCCTCGCTCTGCCACCGCACTGCTGGACGGCTAGTGTAGTTGATCTACGACGACATCGGTCCCTCCCCCCCCCCCCC